ATGAGATGAACACAAGCCTCTGCAGGCCTTTTATAGCCGAGGAGGTGGAAACGGCATTGTTCATGATGGGGCCGGACAAGGCGCCAGGTCCGGATGGGTATACAGCGGGGTTTTTTCAGACCCACTGGGATCTTTTGGGGCCAAGTGTAATGAGTGCAGTGCTACAATTCCTCAATGATGGTGTCTTGGCGGATGAGGTAAATCTCACAACCATTGTTCTTATACCAAAGATCAAGAATCCGCAAGAAATGAAGCACTTTCGCCCTATTTCTCTGTGCAATGTTACCTATAAAATTTGCTCCGAGATTTTAGCTAACCGGATGAAGTCTCTCCTGGATGAGATTATTTCTGTGGAGCAAAGTGCCTTCGTGCCAGGAAGACTTATAACAGATAATGTCCTCACGGCTTATGAATGCATACACTACCTGAAAAGGAAGAAAGGCAAGTTTGGGGCCTGTGCAGTCAAGATGAACATGGCCAAAGCGTATGATCGGGTGGAGTGGAACTACCTTGAGGGAATGATGTTAAAGCTGGGCTTCCATGAGGATTTTGTCCAGCGCATAATGAGGTGTGTCACTTCAGTATCTTTTTCAGTTAGAGTTAATGGCAATCTGTCATCATGTTTCAGACCAACGAGGGGAATACGGCAAGGGGACCCCATCTCCCCTTATCTGTTCTTATTGTGTGCTGAAGGATTGTCATCGATCCTGAAGTCTAAAGGCCCGGTGCATCTATCCAGGGGGGTTCGTGTTAGCGTTCACTCGCCATGGATTTCGCATCTACTCTTTGCGGATGATTGTATTATTTTCTCAGAAGCATCGCAGAGGGGGGCTGTAAGACTGAAGGAGATCATGGAGACCTATAATAGGGGCTCGGGACAGTTGATCAACCGAGACAAATCAGCCGTGTTTTTCAGCAAAAATAGCACTGATGATATGAAGGAAGAAGTCAAGAGTGTCTTGGAAATCTAGAATGAGGCACTTGCAGAAAAGTATTTGGGATTGCCTACGGCATTGGGACGATCAACAAAGGAAGCTTTTGAATACATGCCTACAAGAGTTAAGAAGCTGGACTGGGCGGCAAGCGAGCTGCGCTGGTCGGGAGATTCTAATTAAATCAAAGGCTCAGGCAGTACCAACATACCCGGTGAGTTGTTTCCTGTTACCTGCTGCCACAGGTAAGAAAAGGCGAAGTACGATTTCCAATTACTGGTGGGGATCATCTGCAGATAACCGACGCATGCATTGGATGAAATGGGACTCACTAACTCGGCCAAAACCTAAGGGAGGTATGGGATTCAAGGACCTGACTTTGTTTAATAAAGCCATGCTTGGAAAGCGAGGTTGGCGTTTATTGACAAGGCCTGACTCCCTTTGTGCCCGAGTTCTGAAGGGCCGGTACTTCCATGACGGCAATTTCTTGACCGCCACCAGGAAGAAACATTCAAGCCAAACTTCGAAGGCCATTTTAGCCGGACGAGATGTGCTCCAACGAGGCCTTATCAGAAGGATAGGAGATGGCCAAGCTACAAATATATGGAATGACAGATGGATCTTAAACCATCCAATTGGGAAACCATTTACACCATCAGCAGGCCATCAGCTAGCTTCAGTTTCAGAACTGCTGACGGCCGGTGGACAGTGGAACTTGGATCTGATCAGGGAAGTTTTCTGTCCTTTCGATGCGAGGGCTATCATTTCAACGCCAATCAATGGTCGTGGAGATGATTTTTGGTCCTGGGAACCCGAGAAGCACGACTGTTATTCAGTCAAGTCTGCTTACTTGAAGGGGATCGCCGCCAAACTGAAGGAGCTGCAGAACCATCCTCTGATCATGATTGGAAGGCTGTTTGGAAGCTTGAAGTACCTCCCAAAATTCGTGTACTCTGGTGGCGGGTGCTGCATGAATTTCTGCCGACCAAGTACACACTACACCGAAGACACATAGAGAGAACTGCTCACTGTGAAGTCTGCGGTGCGGATGAAGAATCGATAAAACATGTCCTAATGGATTGCACGATAGCAAGGCTCTTCTGGGACAGCACAAAGCACATTACTGGTGTCAAGCTACCAAGGTTACACGAAATGACATGGGCAAGGGATCTGCTTCAACCTGATATTTGTCCAAGGAAGCATGCGGCCATTATTATTTGTGGTACGTGGTCACTTTGGGCCCTGTTCGGCTGGCATTAAAGCCAGCTGAAACTGTTTTGTTGTGAGAGAAAAATACTGTAGATTCTAGCTGATAAGCCGGCTGGTAAATTCAAGCGAACAGGCCCTTGGACGATGAGAAACAAACGCCGACATGGTGAACCACATCTACCAGTGCGACAAGCAGTGGAATGGGTTCGGGATACAGCATTTGATCTATGGAATATGATACATCCGGAGAAGGGACCGCGGCCAAAACCCAACCATCGCTGGATCGGTCCCCAAGTTGGGTGGTTCAAATGCAATGTTGATGGTGCATTCTCGGAAAACAACCACACAGGAGCTACTGGAGTGGTGATACGAGATCATGATGGACAGTTCAAAGCCGGCCGTGCGGTTTGGCATAATGAGGCGCATGATGCTTTGTTGATGGAGGCAAAGGCTTGCAGGGACGGTATAGAGATGGCGCAGCAACTTGGTGTATCCAAACTGTGCCTTGAGACTGATTGTCTTCAATTGATCAATCTGTGGAACAGTCTACATACACAGAAATCAGCCGTCAGCCTCATTCTTCGTGATATCTGCAGCGCCAGCAAGAGCTTTGATGAGTTTACCTTTATTTTTGCAAATCGTTCTTGTAATAGGGTAGCTCATGAGTGTGCTAGACAAGTCTCTTGTAGCAATGTACTGGAGGAGTGGCATGATAATCCTCCATACTGCCTACAGGGTCTGCTAGCAGATGATTGTAATCATACTATAATCGAATGAATGAAGCTCCTGATCCTCAAAAAAAAATGTTTGAACATTGTGTCGGTTCCTCTGTTTGTCAGGCGGGCCAAGGCGCGCGTGCACAGAATGTGCAATGCAGCTAGCAGGTGATGCGCGGTGACCGTTGGATCACGACGGCACGATGATTGCAGTGGCTCGATTTACCTCTTCAAACTAGAAAACCGGATGTTACCTGTTCGTTTAATCGTTTCTGTGGCTTATAAGTCGGCTAATGCTGTTTTGTTGTGAGAGAAAAACACTGTATAAGTATGGTTGATATGATCAAGCGAACAGGGTGTTGACTTGGATTATTGGAACTGGTTATTTTTTCTCCTTAAGGTAGTTTTCAAGATTGTTTAGTCTGACGTGACGTCACGTCATGTCATACGTAATGCCACAGGATCAATATAGTCGTTTTACCTCCTTCGTGAGTGATGAACCGCATGAAAACCACTTAGGGCTCATTCGTTTGAGTCATTCCCTCCCCGAAATAATTCCTGCTCAAGTCTGAGTATAAATTAAATAGGCATTCCTGGCCGGAACGGGTCTGGGATGTCGTTCCCCGGGAAACGAACAGGGCCTTAAGGAGAAAAGGCAACCGGTTTGAACAGTGAAAGAGCCAAAACATCTGGCTTTTGCTTTAGCGATGTTTTTGTGATGGGGCATGTAGGACGTACTCTCTTGAGTATACCGTGAGACACATGCTGCTCCAGCCTCCAGGTCCGAATTCAATTGGTTCGGTAGCAGCAGTTGTTCTGTTTTGTTTTTCATCCTTTTTTTTTTTTGAATTACGCAGTACCATAACGCTCAACGCTCAAAACAAAACACACATACACTAACCTCTGTAAACACATGGGCCTATGGGCCTAGATAGTTCGAGGAGACAAATTGGGCCACAACTTCTCCAACCTAAAATAACTAGCCTGGAGTGGGACTTGCGTGGGCCGAATTAGCAGCAGCCAAAAAAGAAAAAGCCCGTTCACAACTCAGAAGCCCGTTCACATGGGCCTATGCCTTTAACTGCGCGTCCCTGAAAATGCTATGCTGCATGAGCTGGTTCACAACTCAGAAGGCAAGTGGCGACGGCTGACGGGGGCAAAGCCACCTGATGGTCCCTGCTCCGGTGCCATCTTCGTGCAGAGCAGACCGCGCCTTCGGCAAGCGGCGACTTGGCATCCCGTTCCTAGACCAAAGCGCACTCATCAACACTGGTGCCCAAAGAAAATTTTAACCACAAAACAGTGGCAGTTGCGACCGAAAGCTCGACCAGCGCAAGAGGCCACCGAGGCCGTTTTTGCGGTGCGGGTCGCGATCAGATGGCGCCCCCAAGATATGGGTGGTGGAGGATATCGCGCGCCCCTCGCAGTTCACACCGCGCACCCAGCCGAGCGGTCCGCGTCGACGTCGAGACGGCGACCACCGAAAGCGTTTGCGGCCGCCTGCTGCAGCTGACGGACGGGTGGAGGCCGTGGGGTCGTCGGGCTCTGCCTCTGGGTCTGGGAAGGCCGCTGGTTCCACTTCCACAGCAACAAGGTTTCCAATTCCACCACGTCGAGCTCGGTTTATTTAAAGCAATACCAGCAATGCAACCCGAGCTGAGTTTAGTTTTATCACTTCTCGATCCCGGCCGAGCGAAGCCCAAGAACTGCACCTAAAATCATCAGCCGGTGTCCTGCTTCTTTGTTCCCCCTGTTTGTTTGTCTCCGGATTAGCCGAACCGGAGCTCGCCTAATCCACCATCACGGTCAAATCCCTCTGAACTCTGTCGCAGCAGCTGGTCTTCGCGGACCCTGGGACACGCATGGTTGAATTGAACCGTGACCCGTCGTTTACGTGTCGTCCGGCCAGGAGACGACGAGGTCAGCCGGTGGCCAACCGGGGCGCCATCGCCTGACCCACTTCCCCTATCCTCAGCCTTTTAGTTTCGTTTCGTGCGGCGAGCACAAAATTCTTTGCCGCCTCCGATATGATCCGCGACAACTAGGCCTGCCTGTAACGGGAATAACCGCCCGCGCATAGGCATAGCCTACCTCGGCAGGGCAGCCTAACGGCCACGGCAGCTAGCCTGGCTCTGATGCTGCCATGTCGCGCGCGCCTCGTATCGTATCGGTGCTGCTCCTGCTGCTGCTGCTTGGCCCCCTCCCCATCTCCTGCGTCCACGTAGAGACCGCCGACGGTCCCGTGACGGCGACGGTGCACCGGCAGGACGACGGCACCGCGTGGCGCTCCTTCAAGCAGCTGCTGGACGCGCGGCGAGGCAGCCACGTCGCGGGCCTCGGCGAGCTCAAGCGCTACCTGGCGAGGTTCGGCTACATGCCCGGGGCGGCGGCGCGCGAGCCGACGGACGCGTTTGACGCGCACATGGAGGCCGCCGTGCGGCGGTACCAGTCCAAGCTTAGCCTGCCGGTCACGGGGCAGCTCGATTCCACCACGCTGGATCGGATCATGGCCCCGCGCTGCGGCGTCGGCGACGACGACGGCCACGGCGTGCCGGTATCCCTCTCGGGATCGACGGCGGCGAGCCGGGACGGCGCGGTCAGCCGGTTCACGTTGTTCAAGGGCGAGCCGCGGTGGACGCAGCCGGACCCGCTCGTGCTCACGTACGCCATCTCGCCGACTGCCACCGTCGACTACCTGCCTGCCGAGACCGTGCGCGCGGTGTTCCGGCGCGCGTTCGCGCGGTGGGCGCGGGTCATCCCCGTGGGCTTCGTCGAGGCCGACGACTACGAGGGGGCCGACATCAGGGTGGGCTTCTACGTGGGCAGCCACGGCGACGGGATCCCCTTCGACGGGCCGCTCGGCGTACTCGGCCACGCCTTCTCCCCAAAGAACGGGCGCCTCCACCTCGACGCTGCAGAACGGTGGGCGGTTGACATGGACACCGAAACGGTGCACTCGGCTGTCGACTTGGAGTCCGTGGCCACGCACGAGATTGGGCACGTCCTCGGGCTGGGGCACTCGTCGTCACCCAAGGCCGTCATGTACCCGAGCCTCAGCCCGCGGCAAAAGAAGGCGGAGCTCACCGTCGACGACATCGAGGGCGTCCAGTGGCTGTATGGGCCAAACCCGGGATTCAGTCTCAGCTCGCTCTACCAGCAGGACTCCTCCATGGCGTCGGGGAGGAGCAGTTGGTTTCCTGCCTCGGCTAGTTTAGTTTGTGCAGTCTTGGTCATGCTAGTGACGCAGTTGTAGATAGACAGGTTTATAATACACAAAAAGGATAAGGACAGAAACAGAATGAAAAAAAAGGCTAGGTAGCATGATCCTGCTACAGAAGAGAAAAACTTCTCTTCTTGTGGGTTATCTTTATCTTAGTTTTTGCACACAAATTGTGTGGGAGAGACGTGTGTCTCTCCTCTTAGGTTTGTATTTGCACAGTGAAGTTGTTACAGAAATGCCCCATGTAACTGTACATAATCTTATATCAGTCAAAAGTGTGGACAAGTGTTATCTACACAAGATAATGCTTACTGGCAGCTACTTCAACAAACATGAAATGGTTAGACTTCTACCGCGACCCGGTGGTCTGTAGTGGCAAGACACTTGAGGGTCCAGTTTCCTCTGCTTCGGACCATCTCTGTGCGGCAATCTTCGACATCCCGAACATCTTCTTGATAGTCTTTGTGAAGCATGCCCTGTGTTCATCTGCAGAGGCATTGATGAACTCGTGCATGTGATCTCTCAAATCTGAGACGAATGATGTGCCGGGTACATTTTTTCGGCATGAATGCACAGCACGTTTTGAATCAAGTTGATGTGATCCTTCAGCATCGGTGCACCCGGACATCGTCATGAGATACTGCAAACAAAGCAAACAAATGTAAGCCATACCATGAGAAAAACAGTACTTCATCCAGACCAATTTATAAGGCAAGCACGGGCATCAAGATTCAAACTTTACAAATTTTTAAACAGTAATTTGGCCAAGAATTTTAAACTATTACAGTACAAATTTGATATGGTTAGATTTCTAATCAAATGAAATATCCAATAACCATACGTTTATAAGTATAAACAAGATAATATATAAAAAAAGAATGGTCAAATTGTAACCTGGTAAACCATGCCATGTCAAACTACGCCTTATAAACTCCGGAGAGAGTAACCATGAGAAACTGACAGAAAAAAAATGTCAAACATATAACAATTCTGTGCTCCTAAAAGAAACTGCATTTGCTTCACACAGCTAAGTGACTCATTTAATGAAAATAAGTTTCTCACTAGGATTTGACAGGAGCGCAATGCAATCATACAAGTAAGAACATCATATAGGCACTATATCTTAACAATTAGAATATTTCTCAAGTTTAGAATGAGCAAAATAGCATACTACAATCAACCATCTCATGAGTAGAAGTATGAAAGCTACAAAGTTGTATTGAAACACGCAATTATTTGAACCAATCAACTCAAGGCTCATATAAGTCTGATTTGGACATCTGTCTGAAGTCTGAACAAGATTCTAACTACAGCATCTATGATAATCTGTAACAAAAAAAAATGGCATGAAAAGCACAGCTAAGCTGTGGACCACCTAGTTAAATATTTAGTATTGATCCAGAATGGGGCATCATATAATTGTTTCTCTGGAAATGTTATTTCAACATCCACTCAACAATGGCAGCTCAAAGAATTTCTGGGAGCAATTGAATGACAGTGTTAAGAAGAAACATATCAGATGAGGTGGAAAATCTTTCTCCATCTTGATGCACAAAAACAGTGAAAGGGACTGGTGCAGAGGAGGACTGCAAAGCATCATGATCCCTCATTATTTGTCAATGAACATGGCACAGCATGATACTCACAGTACTATATTGAAGTTAGGACTTAGGATATCAAATCAATAGCCACAAGAATAACTAGCGATAAGAAAAGAATGGCCAGTTTACTGGTAACCCTTAACTGGTCAGAGACTCTTCTGTAAACATATTTACAGATAGACAGTTAGAAGTACAAGCAAAGTACATGGCGGCAGTGTCCGCAACAATAACCTGAAGGGCCAATTTAGGCGATTGACCAATTAGCCCATTATACAAGATGTAGTCGCGAAAACCACATCTAGGTGAACCTACTACCAGTTGCACAACTGAAAATATGCAACCAGCTAACGAGTCACCATGCTTTTCTGTACCCACAAACCTCAAGATAAAACACAGAGACATTACAATAGAACATCAAAACGAATAGTCCGTTTGCATCAGGTCCAAAAGAACACTACAGAATCTAAATTACAGCATCTCTTTTTTTTAGTGAGGAAAACTCTTGCCTTTTGATGTCAAAACTAAACTCGTGGTTCACAACGAGTTGTGAGTTGATGTGTCAGAAAAGGAACAACTAGGCAGAGTATTCCCTTTGATTGGCACAACAACACGAGTTAATGTAGGTGGGCTTACTGACCACCCACACAGGGAGTGCTGCCATTGAGGCTGCGGTGTGTGGTTGGCTAATTAGCCACCAAGGTCAAATACAGACTTAACCATAACCTTCTACGTTTTTTCAGCACAACATGTTGCCATGGACATCGGTATTGAACTGAAGTTAAAAGTGGCCCTCCATTACAAATCCAACAAACAACTGAGCTAGAAATTTCAATAATCAAATATAACATAGCAAGATGTACACCACGAGAATAAGAGGGAGAGGGGGATTACCCAGACCAAATCCACCGGTGAAGTTTCTTCTTGAAGAGGAACTGACTGCTATCGCAGCCACGGACGACGGGGTGGCGGACGAGACAGCTCCGGAGCTGGGGCGGCGGCTAGGGTTTTAAAGTTGGCTGTCATAGGGAATTAGGGTTCTCGTTTAGGCCGAGCCGAACTACTATAATATATCGTGTTTTTGGTCCGCTAACTCGAAGGTCCAGAATTTGAAGGCCCAAATGTGGCGTAGTTGCCTGAACACCTGGCCCAATACGGTCAATCCATGGGCTGGCCATCATCGTCTAGCTCGCATGTGATTCGTTCGCGATTGGGGCATTGGCATAGAGAGCGCTTATCAATTTATTATTTTTACTCAGTGCTGCCGCTACTTTAAGGACAGCCGCTGGGTTTGCGACCTCATTCTGGCACATATAAAACTCAACACCCCCCTCCTTCAAAAAAAAGAAAATTATTATTTTTACTAGTAGATGTGTCCGTGTCTTGCCGCGGGAGAAAAAAACTATTTTATGAAAAAGTTTGACAAGAATATGACATCTATTTATGTTTTATCATTTCTATAAAATTTCAAATCTACTAATTTATATTATGATGACTAGGACATCATAATATAATAAGTTAAATTTGGCAATAATTGATAATGTCCTATTAAACTTATAACGAACTAAAATACAACCTTAATGTATTTTTTCTCCGATTGCATGCATTAGACATAAATATATCATAACTTTAATTTCCATACTATTCATGTGTTGCTATTAAATATCGAGCTCCATGACGTTCTTTAATGATCCATAAAATATGTAATTTTAATATCTATTTAAAGTCAACAAGGAGTTTTTCTCGAATACGCAAAAGATTTGCATATCTTTGTATTAAGTAGGAGATTGTTTTACACAACGCGCCGTGCTAAGGAGGCCAAATAATTTTGCATTTAAGCATAGCCTCCCTAGCGAGGGATTCAAAGCCGACTACTCCCGTACTAGACAACCTAGTAGGTGGCACGCCCCTGCATCGATCCTATTATCCATTACACGGCGCAACCATACTGCGGGCAGACATCTAGGCACGCCTTTCGCCATGTCTCCTCGGCCGACTGGCCGGTCCGCGTCCGGGAAGAGCTCCCTCATTGCTTCTGCGTGCGTGCGGTTCAGCTTGTCAACGAAGATGCTGTCATAAGCTTCCGTGGCCGTCGACGTTGGTCTGGCCTGCTCATGGAGGAAGCCGAGGCGCTTCATTACCAGGATCTCGCCACGCTTGGATGTCGGCACTCTAGACAATGGCTGCACCGCGATCCGCCGGCTCCTTGTAGGCAGCTTTGCCGATGGCTGCTCATGTGGCACTACTGGCAGTAGTGGCGAAGCGGCCACGCAAGGAGTTAGTTCTTAACGTGCCAATAATTGATCTGTCTATTGATGATTGTTATCAAAATCTCTCTCGATTTTCCACATTGCAGTCCTCGTAGGAGATTACAAAGATATATTTATTTAGTTTGGATTAGACAAACTGCTCAAGATTTCAGTTCACGGTTTGATTTGTTTGACCATTGGTTGATCTAGATTTAATAAAGCTTATTCTGCACCTCGATCCACTTCAATACATGCAGAAGCTGTATAATGCAGCTAGGGAGATGGTCTAGCTGAGGGCATCTGTCAACCACAATGTGCTAAAATCAGATAGTTTTACATTGGCTTAACTTTCTCTTTAGCGCAACGATGGCGCTCCTCCCCACCCTCTCCTCCTCCACGCCCCCACCTCGCCCTTCACCACCAACCATGGCGTCCCCCTCTGATCTGCGTGCTCGTCCATGGCGGGGCTCCCGGATCTTTGCTTCGATCCTGGAATCAAGTTCTCTTCTCTGGTCAAGAATCGCTTTGGCTGTTCGGTGAGTCCTACCATCGCTTTCTCCCCATCGGCTTTTCACCTTGTGGTGAGCTTCGGTAGATCGGCCATTCGTCTAAATGATTATTCTGTTGGGTTGATCCTCCAATCGTGCCTTGGTGGCACCGCCAAAGATTTCAATGTTTTCCATCTGTCGGGCTGGATGTTTAGTTTTTCAGTCTCTTGCAAAGACATTGGTTTCATGATCTACAAACTCAAAAGCTACTCTTGCAAATTTTTTGCTGCCTTCTTCCACCTGTGGGCTGGAGGAGGACCTAATTTGCGTAGAGAGTTTGATCTCTAGCGCCTGGAGCAGGAGTCTGAATGGACTACTGTTGGATCAAGATCCAAAAAGTCCAGTGTTGATGTTGGTTCAAAATCTAAAAGGAGTTTTACTAATGTTGTTCATTCTTCTTCTGCTCCTGACGCCCTATTTTTGTTCGCATGAATTATCCTGATAATTATTTTGAGAACTTTGATGATCTTAACCCGGTTTCTAGGAAGATTCCAATTACTACTTCCCCTGATCCTCTGGTTTCTAAGCCTAAGGTTCTTAATCCACCTGCTAAACCCAAGCGTGTTCTTCGCTGGGTACAAAAAGTTAAGACCTCTGGGCCGGCGCTTTCTCAGGGGCATGCCAATCCCAGGAATTCGAATTCCAAAGCTCCTAGTCCGGATCAGCCTCGGCCCAAACCTAAACCTGGCCCAGCCCAGAGTTCTTCGTTGGCTGCCTTTTTGTTCCAACTGCTTGGGCCTAGGTCATCTATGGAAAGATTGGACTCAATCGGTCAGGTGTAAACGATGCTTCAATTATGGGCACACCTCCTATGTTTGCCTCTCCAGAAATCGTGCACAACAGCGTTATCGCCCTATTTCCTGTTCGAAAGATGGAGGGATGCACCTGACTTCATTTATATCCTGGTGATTCCCACTCTCTCGAGTCCTCCGTCTCCCCCCAATCCATCGTCTCGCCGCTCCACTCTAAAACCCCAGTGCCTCCATGGTGAACTAGCCCACTGATCCTCTCCCCCATGTGCCATCTAGCTTCACGCTTGAAGCTCCGGCGCAACGCCCTTCTCTCTGCCATGAAGTCTACATCTCCGGGTGTTACACCCTCTACAATGAGGACCTGGCGATTGTCAGGATGAACCCGCCGGTCCACAAGGATGACTTCGGAGAGCTCAAGACTGCGCTCTACACCTTCTTCCACGAGGTGCATCGGGTTCGAACTTCAGAAATTCAGCCCTGTGCACTAGGAGATGCTTACGTCAGATTCAATAGCGCACTTGAGAGAGAAAGATTCATTGGTCCAGTCTTTCACTTTAGAAATTATGCAATGTCTGTGATTAAGCATGATGAGGCTGCAAATGCGCGTAGCTTCAATTTGGACAGAGAAGCTTGGGTGTTGTTGTTAGGCTTTCCAGAGGATCTCAAAAACATTGTTTGCATTGCTAAGTCAGTCTCTGGCTTTGGTATTTTAATGCACTAGCATGAACCTGATAATCTCACTAGGGTTGTTGCAAAGGTGTATTTAAATGATGATGCTAAGATACCTGATTCGGTGAAAGTGAATGTGGGCCTCCCCCAGAAAGGTAGATCTTAGACAGTTCCATGCTATATTCTGAAAATATAGGGTGTCATTGAATTACAGGATGAGGAGGCTTTTGCTACAGTTGGACCTCTGCACCCATAGCCCTCCTAGCCCCCTCGTTGGATGGGGCCGGTTCCTCCAGCAGGCTCAGATGCAACCCCGTTTGGATCCAACAATGGCTCGGCTATGAATTTGGATGGTGGAGGCCCATCAAACCATTGGGTGCAGCAGTTGGCGCCCCATGATACTGAAGTTGTCATTCCTGAGAATGTGGCCCAGCCTGCTATGGCTGAGGCTGACCATTTTGTAGCAAGTGTTGTTGTCCAAGCTGCTCAGAATGTTGAAGTTAGTGCTGAGAATTTTGAGACTCAAGCTGAAAAGGTTTTGGAAGGTGACCAGATCCATCCCAGTGACTCCAGGGACCAGTGCAGTGCAGGTTGCAACTATTGCAGCTCTAAGGATCAAGTCTGTCTTTTTTGGCCCTTCAACTACTTTTGATCCCATCATTACTGTAGTGCCCTCCCTCCTTGAGCAGGTATTTAGCTTCATATCCTCTAGTCCTTCACCAATATTTCTGTTTACACCAAAATTTGGGAGAAAAAACGGGAATTCGAAGGCTTCCAAGATTATGCCAATCAAGGAATAGATTGCATAAGGATCGATATCAGCTGATTCAGATACGACTCTGGAATCGGACCTCTTTGGATGACGTCAACAGATAGTGATGATGAGCTACGGTTGACGCTAGGAAATTACATATTAGACTCTACAAAAAGGAAAAGATTATGGTCCAAGTTATCTTAAATTAGGAATGTTTTCTTCTATGCCGAAGATTGTAATGAGTCGTGCTTGAGTAGGATTCATGTTTAGGCTTCGGGTATAAATATTGGACCCCGGCTATTGTAAGAGGACACAATCAATCAAATACAAGTTTCTTACTTTTTTTGGCTCCGGCCATCCCTTAGGAGTAGGAGTAGAGTAGATCTCGGTGAGTTCTTCAGCGAGCAGGGCTGCATCGGTCCGACCGACCTCCGGCTTGTCTGTAAGTACCGTCATGGCTTATACTTCTGTTCGTACGGCTGCATCGATCCGGTCGACCTTCACTGTGATTCTGGTATAAGCTAGTTATTGACTCTTGTTTAGTTCAAGTAAGGCTACATCGATCCGGTCGACCTCCACTGCTCGAACTAGATTAAGGTCAAGTTATCGGCTCTATCTAAGGGCGGCGTCCTTCGGATAGATTCATTAAGTTACTGATATTGCTTATTGTTTTCATTATTTATTTAATTACA